ATAGGGTCAAACAACTAATTATATTTAGAGGGTCAAACAACTGATTTTATTTATAGGGTCAAACAACTAGACTGTATTTATAGGGTCAAACAACTAGACTGTATTTATAGGGTCAAACAACTAGACTGTATTTATAGGGTCAAACAACTGATTATATTTATAAGGTCAAACAACTAGATTGTATTTATAGGGTCAAATAACTGATTATAATGCTTTCAGTTGGGCTTCATCCACAAAATTTGCAATATTATTATATTTCAAACCTACAGAGTAATGCCAGGCATCTCTTTTTGTATCATTAGTCACAGTGTCATTCAGAGATAGTAGTTGATTTTTTTGAAGTGCACATGACAGTATAATTCTTGATTGCTGGAGCTTATGTGATGGTTAAACTATGTTGCCCAAATATATTTAGTTTTATATGAAGTTATTTTAAACATTATTTTATGATGAGGGTTGAAACTAAAGGTGGCTCATCTGGTAGTTGTTTACTCTTGTATTTTTAGTGACTAGAAAGTTTGAGTGAATGTAAAATGTATGTTTTATCCTCTCTTATGTTTCAGGTTTTTCCATTGTCATTTATTTTCGTGGGTATGATTTCATTTAATAATTTGTGTTTGAAGTATGTTGGAGTACCCTTTTACTATGTTGGGCGTTCACTAACAACAGTATTTAATGTGGTAAGTTTTATTTTGTTATGAAAAAAAAATGAAACCAATCAATTTTCCTCAAGTAAAACTGTTGAGAATATTTTAAGTAAGCTCATAGAAGCTTGTTAGAGTTTAAAAAATTGTAGACTTTTTAGTAAATGTTTTTTATTCCTCATGATTATAGTTTATGTAATTTTATTCTTAGTGAATATTTTATGTTAATGTTTTTAGTTTACATTCTATTGTAAATGAATTTGATTGTTATTAATTATTTTATATTTCTCTAAATGAGATTCTTGGTAAATGTTTAATGTTAGAACTGGGCAGTTTCATATTTTGTAATTAATTAATCAAGGGCCTAATTGATTGTACTTGATTAAAGAATTAAGAAATGCTCTCTGCAACCCCCTATACATAAAGAAGAGAGAGAAAAAACAACAACAACAACAACAAGGGTTCTAAAACATACCTTTGCTGTCATTTATAGCTATCACTCAACTGTCAGGGTTTCTTCTTTGCTAACTCTAAGCATTAGTCTGATTTTTCTCGTTTGCACCAGTCTTTTATACCCCACTTAAATGCTCTTGGTGATATTTATCTTGTGAGACTCACCACCTAGGTCAATGCACCCTCTATCCTGGTACTGTATATAAGTACCTCATTCAGATAATTTTATCACTTTTTCTTGACAAAGTGTCACTGATGGGTTTCCCAGTATTACAATCAATCGGAAATACTTTGAACGTTATTGTGTTCTCTAGTTGATTTCGTAACAATAATTAAAAAATAATAATAATATATATATGTTTTTTTTTCTTTCTTCCCATTGGCAAGCTGATTATGGTATGAACTAGTGGATTATTATTTCTGGCATGAAGGCCAATTCAGTTTATCCTCTCCCACCTTTGATATCTAGCATCACACAACTATCAGAGGGGGCGGAGTCACTCTCAGTTGAGACTGTCAGTGATTTTATTCGTAGTGAGATGGAGACATATGTTCGGATCTGTGATGGTCCTCCGGGGGGGCTCTGAAGTTGCATCTGAGGGAGATCCTCAAAATTTTACAGAGACTTTAGATTCCCTGTGCCTTCTTTTAGTTTGTTGGATTTTCAGCCCTCCTGTTGATCAGTGATAAGTTTACAAACTTCTAATGTCCGGGTTCGATTCTTAAGGGTGGATGTGGCAGCTGGCCGGCAGTTGCTTTGCTCTAACAAAACAGCTTACTTTACCACTGTCTTTAAATGATCTATGAAAAACAAAAAAAGAGACCACTTTGGGATAACCTGCCTTTGATTTGTTTTTCTTCTGTTGGTTCTTCAAGTGTGTGATGTTTTGGGCTTTTTTCTGGTTGCTTTTGAGCCTGCAACTTAAATGATGGCTGAAAGTTCTGGGAGCAAATTTTTTGTTTTTTTCCATACACTGAAATTGTGGTTCATGCTGGAAGGTTTGCTTCTTAATTTCGTGAAGAGACAGGCTTTATCCAACACGTTGCTGGAACTTCATGATTTTGCTTACCACCACCAGGTAGAATAATTTTACGACTCTCAAATAATATCTGTTCCTCAAATTTTGGGGTTCTAAGGCAGAGTTTGTAGCTCATCGATATAGGTCTATGTCCCCTGATTGGACAGAATAAGTCTATGAATTGGCAATTCAACTTCAACATTTTGTTTCCTTTCACTTCACTTTATTAGAAGACTCTCAGGATCACCAGTTTTATTGAGCTAGATCCATTTTTAGCATGCATGTCTGTTTAATTTTCAGCTTCTATATTCTTCCTGGTTGTTGTTGGAGTCTTGAATTTCATCGGCTCCTATAAGGGGGTCATAGTTCTGCCCCTATTTGTGAGTACTGATTCCCGACATCAGCTCCTCAGTACATTGGTACTCAGAATAGATTTTGTCTATATCCAAGGTTTCCACTACTTAGTCATATTGCAAGCAGCAAATGAAGGGGATGAGAAAATTTGTATGAGACAGCAGAACCCATATTAAGCATGTGTGAGACAGAAGGAAAAAAGCCGGAACTGCAGTACCTGACCCTTGTGTCCCACAAATGCTGATAGTGGTGGGACTCCACTGCTAAGGCAAAGTGCAGATAGGAGCCAACTACATCCAATTTGGACATCTATAAGCCCAGTAAAAAAATCAAAACAGATTGATGAAATGATTAACTTGGAACCTAGCCCAGACAGCTCCTCAAGTTATACAATAATCACCGACCATTCCATGGATGACTGGTTACTGCTGGTAACATCTCGTCAATTGAGAGACCATCACATCCTGATCCAACTTTCTGATATAATGCAGGCAGGCTTCTCTTGTGGGACTGTGACATCTATTCTTGCTCAAGTTCAATATGTCATCAGTCTGGGTATTTTTTATTTTTCATCTCTCAGTCAGACTCGGCTATCTCCCATCCTGCTCAACCCTATAGAATAGGACGCCATACTGTTACTCACCATTCCTTCTCCCACTGCATGGATGCATCTTTCTCTTCTGTGAATACAGAACATCCCTCTAATCCTTCGTGCCTTTGGGATGAGAACACAAATGATCTTTTTATTGGTCTATAAGAGACCAGGGATTGTACACATCTATCTCCAGGTTTCACCAGTTTCCTTAGTCAGGATCATTCTTTGATCTTGAGGGGGTTAAGTTGGGATGCTACTACAATTCGGGTTCCTCTACTGCCACCTCGTCCAGAGTTCCATTCTCTTCATAAATGCCTTGCTTCAGGGATTCCAACAGTCAGGAATTCCAGAGTCTATGTACAATTGACAAGGATTCCCTACACAATGTTTTCATCCTTCCTCCTCTTCAACAGGCAAGGTCTCATGGTCTGGGCTTCTTAAGGGGTAAATTGTCAGGCTTCACTCTGACTCTTTTGCAGTGGTGTCTTATATTTCTCATTAAGGAAGCATGTGGTCTAGGGCTCCTTATTTTCGAATTTTGGACCACCTTTCTCTGGACTAGTCTCACCTTATCACCCTTCTAGCTTGCCATGTTCCATGGGTGATGCTTGTGGTAGTAGGACCATTATCTTAATCCAAACAGATTCTCTCAACAGGATAGATGTTGCATCTTAAGGTTCACTTAAATTGCCTCTCATTTTGCAACTCTAATTGGTGGGTTGGCATCTCATTGGATCACCCAACTACTGGCAATTTGGTCTTGAGTACCTCATCTTTGGGTCTTAGCAATAGATGCTTTCCATTTGGACAGGATGGGATTACCACTCTCAACCTTCTCTTAGCTTCATGTGTTACCCAGGGTACAAAATATGATTCGTTCCAACCCATTGTCCGATCCTGTTGATCACATCAGATTGGTGGCTACAACTGGGTTTCTGTTCTGCAGTCTCTTCTGGTGTGTCCAACTCTTTCACTTCTTTTTAAGCTCTCTCTGTGGAGGCAGCCATTATCGGATATGGTACACGTGGCATAGAGGCAATTCTGTCTTTCACATGGCATTGGAATTTAATTTGTAAGATTGACATGTATCTGGCTCAGTTGTACTGAGAGGAGGCTGACCCTATTCAATCAATGGTTTCAAATATAACCAATTTTTTCACTTGGCTCTTTGACAGAGGTTTTTTGCATCTTCCACAATTGCCATTTTTTACGGCGGCCTTATCGACTCCCATGATTATTATAACTACATATTTTTGAGTCTCCAGTACTCTCCAGATTCCTCACATTGTTTTGGGTAGTTGGTCCCAAATGATCATTCCAGTTACCTAATAGGTAGATTTAGGTTATATATTCTTTCTCTACACATGTTTGTGACCTGACTCTTATATGTCATCTATCCTCTTATCCCCTTTACCTGCAGGTTTATTTTTCATGGCTGCTGACCTACAGACATCACCAGTTGGAGTGATTTATGCTGTTTGTCCACAGACCACTTTCTCATTCTATGTCTTCAGACCGGTTCTTCTTACCCAACACTCTGTCAGACAGGACAGGGGTTCAATCCTTTTCTCCGATGCATTTGCTGCTCACTCTTTCTCTCTGTATCCAATCAGATTTCGATGTTGGGTATGTTCAGTGAGGGCCTTGAAGGTTTTGTTGCTTGCACTTGTACCTTTAGAGATACTAGACAACACTTTATTCTGGGCTCTCTTTGATGGTGATTTATCTTCTGAGAGTCATATCTACTCAGATTTCTCTTTGCTATGTACTTAGCAGCCCCGTTGTTTTGCCTGCTGGAGGTCATTATGTGGACTATATCTAACATTATTTGTCTGATATGGCAATCTCTTCATCTGAGGGCTTTTGCCTACCCGCTGTAGCTATCTTAATTATCTCTGCTAGATTATCCAGAGGGGTTAGTATTTTTATTTTTACATTTCAGGGTCTCTTACCTTGTTTACACAGGATTCCACTCTCTGGCAAGTGTTGCCCAGACAGATGTGCTTTTATCAAACCAATTCCTCACTAGCAACCACTACTTCATTTTAATTACTACTGGTTGCAACAGGTTCGGTAGACATGAAGTGTTCTGTAAGACCACCTAGGAGCTCACCAGGTGGTATTACAATACTATACTGGACCACCACTCATGGACTATCATGAGTAAAGCTAAATGGGATCTTGCCTGTCCCTGCCAATTATTGGATTAAATAAATTGGGTCAGTTTGTTTTTAAAAATTTAGGGAACTTGGTTCACCTATTGCACTGTTTCTGGAGCACTGTTCCTCAGGACTCCCCAACACACATTACCCCCAAAATCTACTAGTGGAGCTCAGGTGTCTTTACCACACCTGGTTTTCAGTCACTGGGGTGGTGGACAGAAGCTTTTCCTCCAGATTGTTAGAATGAATTTCTCCACTCTTGGAGAAGGGGGCAAAGTTGGGGTTTCTCCTACCCGAGTCCCTGAATGTTTTTTCACAGATGTTGGTAGGAGCTGCACCAGCCTACAAGGGAGCCTACTTCTAATACCAGTTTAGACTTGATACCCGGCTATCGAGTTGGGGTGTGCATGGCCCTTCTTTTTGGTCAATATTGGTTCAGTATATTGTTTATGG